TATCCAATTAGCATGCTACATCAATATTTGAGTAATGATATTGAAGATTGTGACTTAATGCAAAATCAAAAACTTAGGAACGTGATTAAACCTTTTAAGAGTTCAAGGACTCATAAGCTCATTCATCAAAGTTTAGATGCTTTTGTAAATTAACATTTTTTTCTTGTTGGGTTTTTAAATTTCTTATGTTGCAATCTGACTGTTACATGTTTTATTCTGCACGCTGCTCGTGGGCATGTAGAGTGAAGGTAGTAAACTTCTAGCCCTGTTTTAGTTACTTTCATTCTTCCTCCATCACACCTTATAACGGAGATCTGTTACTTATAATCTGTAGGGACAAGATGTTGCCTTTGAGCCTGCTAAGTTGCTATGGCTTATCCAGCGTGATTTTCTACGTAGGTTCCCTGCTTTCGTGGCTTTTGCACACAGTTTTCAAGTTATCTAATAATTCTGCATTTTTTTATTTTTTATTTTTTTTTATTTTTATAATCATAATTTAATCTTTCAAATTGATCCAAATTGATCACATCAGCATGTCATATGCCGTTTGATTAGTGGGAATGAAGTATGCTTACTAGATAGACGTCAGTATATCCATATTAGTTATATGAGAAGGCAAAGGTGCTTGGTATTGAAGTATACTAAACATACTTGACTATTAAATCTAGATGGAGTCGTTTTCCTTTTGAAGAAGGTGATCTTTGAAATCCCAACACCGTAGGCCTAGTTCTCTTAATTGTTCTTAAAGCCAACTAATATTGCTTTAAATGTTTGATTTGTTCTGAAACAATACATTTTTTTGTAAGAAAAATTCACTTGCACCAAGAGAAATGAAATAAGAAAATCAAACTTACCAGACTATAAAAAATATAGGCCCAAGCCACAAAAAAACTTACTAATGGGAGCTCCAATTGTCACGATCATAAAGAAGCAATATGATCTTAAAAACCATAGCAATTGGTTGTAGAATATTATTGACATTGACTGTTTACTTTGGGAGGCTATTAGGTTTAGTGCCTAATAGCCAGACTTCTTATGTCAATCAAATAGAGTAGTCTTAAAATCCTCTGGCTATAATGCCGTTAATTGGTCTTGTTACTTGTTTCTTGTTTTTTTTTTTTTTTTTTTTTTTTTGAAAAAAAAA